AAAAAGTTTTTGGTAGTACTTTTTAGATTTATATTTTCTCAACACTAAGAGAAAATGCTGTTAGTAAATAATTTACCTTACTCTAAAGTAGTATAAAAGTACCTCAGAAATTCATCTCACATATTCAATTCTATGTTAACTCATGGATTCTAATGTAACTTTACAAGGATTGTTAGTATTCATAGATTAGTTTTAGAATCAGCTAATCTAAGCTAAAATTTGTTTGTATTTATAGAATCAAATGCATATTTTAAATGAGTTAATGTCTGTATAAAATTTCATTCTTCTGACATCTAGAACATATACAGATGAACAAAGATTATTATGATTTATCCTACTACATATTTCCTTTTAGATAGTGGGTTAGGATCAGTTTGATTTCTTGTAATGATATAAATTTGTAACTTAAATTCCAGATATGTGTAGGTTTTGGAAAAGAAGCTGACTGGTAGGAGGAGGAAAAGACTATTCACAGAATGGCTACAGCAGTTTTTATTTGGTGAATTGCAGGAAATGAGATCCATACAGAATAAGATTTCTTTTTGGACATCTAGGGGACACTTCCTAGGATGGTCTTACGTTATCATTTAGAGTATATCATTCTAAAAAATACTCACAATTGTATTTATTGACCTGTCATGTCAGTTCTCTCCATGTTCACATTGAAGTTTTTCTTCTTTTATTCCTATATACCCATACCTATGTAGCCACACTAGAAACAATGTTCATGACGTTATCCAGGTAGGATCACTAAAATCATAAAATGGTTTACATCTAGCCATCTCATTATTTCCTGTATAAAACGATTATTATTTTATTGTAGTAATTGTGGGATATTTTATTCACCTTTTAATAGACTAAAATAATAGTCAACATTTCCCTCACAGAGTTTATGTGTAATAGAAATGTTCTCTTAAATTTTATAGGAAAAACCAAATACGTTTTGGAATTTATTAAATGGACATATTTGTTTAAACGTATAAATAGCTTTGTGATGTTGACTACAGTTAGTAATCTAAAAGAGCCTTTGAAAAATAGTCAAGAAGCATGATTAAAGGGTAGTCTTGACTCTGGCAGGCCTGAAATACTATCCCCAGTGACTGCAAACTCCACCAGTTTAGGGGGCCTGCTGGATAAACTGATGGGGTGAGTTGGGGGTGGGGAGGGGAGTGTCTTGTCCCTACCAAGAAAGATACTAAAAGCTTGAAAATGCAGTTTTTATGTTTACTTTAAAAAATTACATAACTATGAAAAGGTTGTTAATTAATATTTTAAAATTAACCAGTTTATATTAATGTATTCAATAATAGATAAGTTTTGATAGAACTCTTTTAACTTGACTGAGAAGATTAAGCTGTCTGGGATATGCTTCTTCATCTTTCACCTTAATAGATATTTTTTACTGTATCTTTTTAATCCTCTATTTTAGTTTTTAAGACTATATCAGTAAATACTTTGCAAGGCACTGTTTTTAACATTCTTTCCCTCAAGGAGTCAACAATTTGAATATGAAGACAAAAATATATATTACATTCAAAATACAAAACAGTAAAGGGTCAAATGAGCACTATTTACAAATTGAAAGAAATTTTCAGAAGAAAGTCCAATCTACAGGATTAGGAAACATTTAGAGAAGGGATACAGAAAGAGGACAGATGGTAGATTTAGATAGGCAGATAGGAGGTAGGCAAATAGCACTGCAGACTGAGGGAGATACAGTTAATGGGTGGAATATCGAAATTCAAAGCATGTTTAGGAAATATTGAGTAAACAAGACATTGACAGGAGGTTCCATCAAGATTTGTGTCTAGATTATGAATTGAATCTCCAGATTTAGTAACTGAGCATTTAGGAAACAGAAGACTTGGAAGGTTTTGAGTATGAAGTACTAGAAAGTTAGTATTTCAGTAGCTTTAGGATGAATTGCAGGGGTTAAGATAAGGCAGGAAGACTAGCTGTTGCAGTATGAGTCGATGCATTACTTGAGAAATATTAAAACAGGTAGTAGCAGTAGGAACAGAAGGGGCTCATATAAGCAATACTGCTATGTCAGATCCAGTAGGACTGGATGTGACAGATAAGGGGGGAGGCATAAAAAAAAAAAAAAAAAAAACCAAACCCATTGCTATTGATTCCGACTCACAGTGACCCTGTAGGTCAGAGTAGAACTGCATAGTTAGGTAAAAATTACTGTTTTGTCCCTGGGTGGTGTAAATGGTTAAGTACTCGATTGCTAGCTGAAAAGTTGGTGGTTCGAACCCATCCAGAGATGCCTCGGAAGACAGGTCTGGTGATCTGCTTCCAAAAGGTCACAGCCTTGAAAACCCTATGGAGCAATTCTGCTTTGCACACGTAGGATCGCCACGAGTTGGAATTGACTCAGTGATAACTAACAACAACAAGTGATGAAGATAGTATCATATAGCAATTTGAGGGAGGGAAGAAAATTTTTGGAAAGCAAGTAAATTTGGTAGTAGGCAAGTTGATTTTGAATTGAGGCAGAGCATCTAAAGGGGAGTGTTTTAGGCATTTAATGATGCATAAATGTATAGTCGATGTCTCACCACAAAAGAGATGGCATAATTTAAGAAATGTTTTAATAAAGGGCTAGTTACAAACGTGTACAGGGTGTAGCAATAGCAGAGCTGTTTCTGCCCTTTGGTCCAAGGGCCAAGGGCAGGGAGTGGTTACTAGAACCCAGAAGGAGAGAGACCAGGAGAGAGTGTCACCTTGGGAGAATCTGAGACCTTGGATCAAAGGACACAGCTGGCTAGAAGGCAGTGCCACAGGGAAGGAGCCAGGCAATAAATCCCTCGATCTCATTCTCCTCCCTCCCTCTGATCTCCTGCCAGGGTGCTCCATTGGTCAAACCCAATCTGAAGCCATGGTAGCCCAGTTGATGAAGTTAGTCAGCCTTATGGTATAGAGAACTAGGTGAAGAGTGAAGAATAGAGTGGGGGTGGTGGTGCATAGCAAATGGAAGATATCTAGTACAACTGAAGCATAGTTTAAAAAAAAAAAAAGGCCAGGGAAATACCTATTTGGGAATGATCCTTATGTGAAGCCAGCATGGAAATAAATGAAATTTCCAAGGGTGAAATATTTATGTGATAGAGAACAAAGGGCACAGTAATTAATCTTAGGGAATGCTTACATTTTGAGAAACAGGAAGAAGAGCCAAAGTGTGGCCACGTAGGATAGAAAATCCTGGGTGACTATTTCTGAGCTTAATGTATATGTATTTTTTAGCCTTTTAAGTAGCTCTCTTTAGTAGGAAAGGAAAGAATATTGACTTGGGTTAGTTAGTCTTGGTTTCAGATTTCCCCTTTACCTCTTACTTGGCAGTATTTAACCTTTCAGAGTTCCAGTTTTACTGTCCTAAAATAGGAATATAGGGTTGTAAGGATTGCATAAATAAATATATAAAGCCCCTAGCACAATGCTTGGGACACAAAACATGTTCCGTAACTGTTCCCTTAACTTCATTAGCGCATTCCCTTGTTACTTCAAATATGGACAGGTGTTTTATACATCAAAATAGAAAATGTAAGTTTGTTGACTTCTCTATTGTATTTTATTTCCTCCTTTAAAACAGTGGTTTATACTTTTAGTGTATACTTTTCTTTATCATTTTTTCCGTTAATATACTATGCTCTGGCATCTACACTTACTCTCTCGAAGCTGTTTGTTTATCAGGTTTCAAAGGCTCTTCTGCCAATTTCAGTGACCTGCAGAATCATCCAGAAGTACATCCTCCATAATCTCACCTTCTTATCTGTTGAAACACTGTATTCCCCTAGCTGTTTTCTTTCTGCCCCTTGCATGGTCTGTGCTATTTATGCTTCTGAGCTTTTGCTCAAATACTGTTCCCCCTATCTGGATTGGGTTCAGGTATTATCCTTTCTTTAAGGTCCAACTCCAGGAAACTTTCTACAGTGATTGGGCCTACATTGAAAACTCCCTTCTCTGATCTTGTTATACAATCTGGGTTCAGGCACCTGAGCATTTAATCTCTTACACCGTTCTTGTGTGTACGCTCCTTTTGTTTTCCCAATGAGAGAACATCATATTTTCTTTTGTTCAGTATAGCGTGGAGCACATCGTAGTTGATTAGGAAATAAAAACTGAAACAAACTGACTTAGTATTTCAGTATAATCAAGAACCATTTATGTGTATATTTTCAACAACAAAAAATACAATGAAATATTCTTTTTTAAATCACAAAAAACCTGAAAATATATTTATTTTTGATTATATGCTATCCATATATTCAATATGTTAGGGTTATATAAAATATAAAAAGGTAGTCATCCAAAAATATAGTCATCCAAAATATATCAAAGTCATAAGGTTGTTATACTTAGAGTAACTTTGTTTTAAAATCACAATAGGTTTTAATCATTTTGCTTATGCTTAAAATTTGATTTTTTTCCTTATAAAGAAAGCAATATATGCTCATTGGAAAAATTGGGAGGTATTGCAGAAAATAAACAAACAGTAGAAATCACCTGTAATCTTACCAGCAAGGAGACAGTAACTGCTGCTTTTTTACATTTCATTCCAGTTTTTTTTTAAATGTACATTTTAAGCATAATTAACATCCTGTTATATAATACAAGTAAGCTTTACTAATAAACACTGGCTGCAGAGTGTTCAGTAGCTTCTTTTTTCTTCTGATCATTGGGGGCAGGTCTTTGCTTCTTAACCAAGTATCAAAATATAAAAAGTTGCTCTTATTAGTTACAGTAATTATCAAGAAAACTTGGAAAACTTTTTTAGTGATAGAAAAAATTGTGTTTAAAGATTAGTTGAAAACACAGATGAATGATAAGAATTTTTATATAATTCAACAAGAAAGCAATGCTTTTTTTTTAACTGAATGAAAGTTTAGGTTTTTAAAAATGCAGTTTAAAAACAAAACCAGATTTCTCTCTTAAAAAATAAAATAAGGAGCCAGATTTCTTTTTTGAAGGATCTCAGGACTAATTTGACTTCATGATGAGCTGTGATAACTTTTCTATTTGTTGTACCGTCAGAAATCCTCCCTGTGGCACAAAAGGACTCTTTTAATTAGAAAATATTGTTGCCACAGGGAGGTAGAAGATCGACATGAAAAACTGGGGATCTGAAAAGGAGCCCCTATCCTAGGATTACCTGAAGGTGAAACAGATTGAGCCAGAAGGAAGACTATGCTGGTAGGTCGGTTTTTAATTTCTTAAGAATGCTTACAGTTTTACATGTCATTAAAACTGTTGCAACTAGCTATACCATATTTTTGTTTAAAAGGTGACATTGCTTCCTCCTCAAGGAGGGAGATACAATAAAATAGTATTTTTCTTCCTAAGCAGCTTGCTATCTGAGTTATCCCCGCCATGTTCCTAATATTTGTTTCTTTTTATAAATAAAGCTTTAGGGCTGTTTCATGCCTCTGCTTTCTTGGAAGCTGCTACTGACTGAACATCTTCAAGTCTTTCGTGTCTTTTCTGTTATTTCTGCTTCTATCTAGGCCTTTTCCTAAATATTGTTTTAAGAGTATTTTCTTCCTGTTATCTCATTTTATTGAGTTTAGCCTAGTCACAAACTTTCTAAAAAGGTAGCATGTGAATCTTAAATTGATTTAGTTCTGATTCTAGAATTATTTAAATCGTATAGCTGTACTGTGATTTTCCCCCTTAGATCAGTTAGAAAGCATTATTAGAACAAAGTTTATTTAATATTTTACTAACTACTGAGATGCCATCAATTATAAGATATATCATTTTTATACCACTAAAGGTAAAAAAAAGGCTGCCAATTATAAATTTTAAGAGACCATCCATTATAACATGCATCCCAGTTTCCGATATGTCAAAATGTGAAGAAACATAACGTCTTATAATCAATGAAATATAGTACCATGCAATTATGAATGGTTCTGAAATTCCCACTTACTGGGAATCAGATATTAAAATATCAGGCTTATGAAAAATGGAGGTGAATCGTGGTTGTGGAAGTCCCTGTTTGTACTGAGTAAGATCTCTAAATTTTTTACTATCTTCAGAGAAAGGGTATCTAAATTAAAAAATGATTTAACTGTATTGTTGAAATGTACACAAAGTAACCATAAGATATTATAGAGAGTATAGAAGATGAAAAAGTATTTCAGCTTGACACATTTACTTAATAAATAATGGAGTTTTATCTTAACTGAATGCCACTTTTTAGGTGGATTTTGTGATCTAAAAAGAAAAAATTTGAAATGAGACTTCTGCTTTTAAAGCCATTGTTTTAACTCAGGATCCTTTATGGACCCTTTAAAATAGCCACTGATTTTTAGGGCAGTTAAATCTCGCTTTACAGATTACTAATTATGTGAAGGAGAAGATAGTGTCCAAAAGCAGAGAACTACTCTGTCAACAAAGCAGAAATGAAAAGGAATAATTTTCAGTGGTATTCATATACTTTTCAAGACACATCTGTTTTACATAGAAAGAAAGAGAAGTATATCTAGAAAATTGATTATTGAAGGATGTTTGTTTGACTTTGAAAGTGTTGTAGGGAAAAAAATGCCAGAAAGTTTAGTAAAGCAAAAAGAAAGTTTTATTTGGCATGTATTCCAATAGCCAAAAGTAGGAAATTGGACAAGCATGCTGCCACAGCCATGTCTGCCCAAGTCCAGAGAATATTACAAAACAGACAAGAGTGGGAAAATGGATAAGCATGCTGCCACAGCCATGTCTGTCCAAATCCAAAGAAAATTACGGAATAGGCAAGAAGGGCAAAACTGGACAAGCTTACTGTTAGAAGTCCAAAGACCATTACAGAGTCTTCAGTGTATATTAAACATTACAGATGGGCAGAACCATTGAAAGCTTCACCTTTTCACAGATTGGCTAGAAACTGTGATCCTACATTTTGAATTGTCTTTCTTAACAGTCATTGGTACAGATTTCAGTAATGACAGTCAGGAGGGTGTTCATTGGTCCAGCAAATTTTCTATTCACTAAACTAAATGCTAATAGGAAAAGATAAGAGTGGAAAGTCTTTTTTGTTCTGGTTGATGAGCTTATGTGAAAGGTTCTCTAAAAGATATTTTCCAAGATTATCTTAGCTATTGTCTTTATATCTCAGGGCCCAGTTGATGTGTCCTTGTGAGTCCTTGTGAGCCCTTGTGAGACCAGCTCCAGCTGGGTCACATTCTCTGTGCTCAAGGACAGGGAATGATGACTCTAATATTACTTTCTAAATCAAAAGCCACTAGGATTCATTCCTTTGTACTCAGGAAGACTTTTTTAAAAAAATTTTTGAAACACTAATTTACTTCCAAGGCTGCTATACAACAGTGCATATAAATAATACAGTTTTATTAATTCAGACTGAGGAGAGAGCTAAATCTGGATTATATAATATTTTGAAAGAATACCAAACAAGATTGAAAATGTTGCTAAGTAGGGATAGCTCAAGATACTTCTTTGATATACAAATAGTAATGCTCTAAAACATCTCTGTGGGCAAATTTATACATTCTTTACACTGTCTATCCAGCAGACACTTCTTGAGGACCTGTATAGCATGCCTGGCTCAGAGGTGCATGTCTTGTGGTAAACGAGACCCTGTCACTGCCCTTGCTGGGCTTTCAGCTTTGTGGAGAAGATGAACAATTAAACGTGTTATTATGAAAAAATGTGATGAATGTTATGATGGGAGTAATGAAAGCTTCTGTGCAAGTAAACAGAAGGGGAATGCCTAGGAGGTCAGAGAATCCCTCCCCTAGGAAGTGACATGTAAACAGACTTGAAGGGTTTGAAGCAATTAGCCAGGCAGAAAGTATGCCAAGAAGAGAGAACAGTGTGGTTGAAAGTCTGGAATAAGAACATGGCCTGTCTGAGTTGCCGAAAAGAATTCAGTATGGCTACAATATGAATTATGAGAAGAAAAGGGGATTAAGATGAGGCGTGTTGTTGGTAGTGGTGCCTTCCAGTCGATTTCAACTCAAACCAACCCTATAGGACAGAGTAGAACTGCCCCATAGGGTTTCCAAGGCTGTAATCCTTATGGAAGCAGGTCGCCAGGTGTTTTCTCCCACGGAGTTGCTGGTGGGTTCAAACCCCTGACCTTTTCGTAGCAGCTGAGCACTTAACCATTGCGCCACCAGGACTTCTTCAAAAGGAGGTTAAAGAGATAAAAAATCTTACTCTTAAGGGCTTTATAAACTGTATGTGTAGGGCCTTCTCTAAAGGGCAATAGGAAGGAAGCCTTTTAAGAGTTTTAAGCAAAATATTTTTTATACAAATGTAGTTGTTTGCAGAATACTGAGTACTATAAATGAGAAGTGAAATAAGACAGTCAAAGCATTACCTATAATAAAGCCTGAACGCCTTCTCATTATTCACAGCTCTCTAATATTAACTGTCACTATCAAAAACCTCAGTGACTTTTTTTTTCCATTCACAGAAAAATCAGGGGACAATGCTAAGAACTCAGCCTATTAGCAACTGTGGTTAGTTAACACTTGGGAGTGGCGTTAGGAGGTGAGGTACGACTAATCGTGACTTTTAAAAATTTTTTCATGTTGCTGTAATTTTTTTCATTGAGCATACGAAGGGAAGGAAAAACATAGCCCATCTCCTCTCCTTGCATTAGCATTATTAAGATAGAATAACAGTTTTTGCAATAGAACTCTCATGTTTTCCAGGTAGAAGTCAGTGTTTAGTCATAACTGCGAACTTGACTTCCTTGTACTTTGTAAATCAGACAAAATATATGTACTCCCTTAAAAGGAATGAGCAATTAAATTTGTCTTATTTAACTAAAAATACTTTTCATATGTTTTATATTAGACTGAATGGTGAAAATATGTAGTTACTCTCCAGGACTTATTTAAGAATATATTTGAACAAAAAGAATTCTTTGCTAGCTAGAACTTGAGATTTTCTTATCACTAGATAAGCTTGCAAAAGATCACTCTAGTAAGTTTTACATCAAAAAGAAAAGATTAATGTCTCTAATCTAATTAGTAAAAAGGTACCTCTTGTTGTGAGTGGTGTTTGACAACGCTGTTAAGAAAATCTGACTCCTTTTTTTACCATATTACTTTTTTCCTGCAGTTTAATTCTCAGAAAATAAAGTCAGACTTAGAATAATTACTTAAAATGAAAAAAATTATTTTGAAAAGGAAACTAAGGATTTGATTCAAGAGGAGAGAAAAAAAATTTAAAGGTGGCAATTTCTTTTTGCACCAATTGCTCATATGCAAATTTAACTTGAAGCTGAAGAAAATTAAACAAGTCCACGAGAGCCAAAGTACGACCTTGAGTATATTCCACCTGAATTTAGAGACTATCTCAGGAACAGATTTGACGCATTGAACACTAATGACCAAAGACCATATGAGTTGTTGGATGACATCAAGAACATATATGAAGAAAACAAAGAGTCATTAAAAAGACAGGAAAGAAAGAAAAGACCAAAATGGATGTCAGAAGAGACTCTGAACCTTGGTCTTAAACATAGAGTAGCTAAAGCGAACGGAAGAAATGATGAAGTGAAAGAGCTAAACAGAAGATTTCAAAGGGTAGTTCAAGAAGACAAAGTAAAGTATTATAATGAAATGTGCACAGACCTAGAGTTGGAAAACCGAAAGGGAAGAATACGCTTGGTATTTCTCAAGCTGAAAGAGCCGAAGAAAAAATTCAAGCCTCGAGTTGCAAAATTGAAGGATTCTATGGGCATAGTATTGAATGATGCAGGAAGAATCAAAAGAAGATGGAAGGAATACACAGTCACTATACCAAAAAGCGGAAACCCTGGCGGCGTAGTGGTTCAGAGTTCGGCTACTAACCAAAAGGTTGGCAATTCTAATCCACCGGGCGCTCCTTGGAAACCCTATGGTGCAGGTCTACTCTGTCCTGTAGGGTTGCTATGAGTCGGAATCAACCTGATGACAACGGGTTTGGTTTGTTTGGTTTTATACCAGAAAAATTGATCAACTATTTCAGGCGGTAGCACATGATCAAGAACTGATGGTATTGAAGGAAGAAGTCTAGGCTGCACTGAAGGTATAAGGCTCTAGGAATTGATAGAATACCAACTGAGATGTTTCAACAAGTGGATGCAATGCTGGATGCTGCTCACTTGTCTAGGCCAACAAATTTGGAGGACAGCTACCTGGCCAACTGACTGGAAGAGATCCATATTTGTGTCCATTCCAAAGAAA